AGTGACGTTCACGAACTGCACTGTACTTCCTATCTTAATACCAAATCTGTAATCAAGTCATCCACGGCACAACATCGGTATGAGCCTTAGATATTATTATCATTATTATTGAACACGAAACTTCACTATAAACCTGGTACAAAATTATGGTGACTTTCAATACGAAAATATGAAAAAAGGCAGCTGAAATAATGTCATACTCGGTAATCTCTGAACACATACTTGTAGTAGAAACAAAGTTGGCGGAACGAACAGGGTTTTGACTGCAGGTCGAAATCAGGTTGATCGTGGAGAAAGGTGGAATCTTGGGTTAAATGCTTAGTAGGAATCATTATAGTTTTCAGTAATTTTTGTTAGTTGTCTCAGCAGTGGGTAGCCTATTTTCGCGAAATATTGAAAACGACTTTCTCGATTTCATTCGCGAAAGTTTAAGCTCTTCCTTGAGGCAGAGTGGTATTTAGGGTTTGCTTACGATTTCTCGATTTGAAGGTAAGTCGTTTGTGCGACGGATGAATGTTCCGTGCGACATATGCAAGTGGTGTTACATGCGACGATGTTAAAGTGAGCTTTGCCGTCCGTGCAGTGATCCGTTTCACTGAGTTCATCCAAACATCCTTTCTGTACGTTTGTACATTTTTGGTCACACTGGATTACAATATTCTGCTAAAAAGAAGGCAAGAGCGATGCTTGGATTGTATAGGCCACTGGCTGCTATACTCTGAGTAGTGCCGTGAGCAATCTTTATAATGTTGACCATCGATTTGCTTGTGGTTTGCGTTTCTAACTTGAACTCATGATACTGACGTTTCCCTGAAGATAAGAACCTTTTCGATAGCGACATGGAGATATTTCAATTGTTGGTAGGCTTTACGTTAAGTGATTTCTTGCCGTTTCGGTTTTCAGAGTGAGTCACCTGCACATGCTGAGGTTTGATCGTAATTACCATAAGCACCGGTGATTCGCTTCATCTCTAAAATAGAGTTAGAATAATCCGGTCTTTCGGGCGAGTAGATATCTGTCTTGAGTATCGGTAGCTAGTTAACTGGTATTATATTCAAATAAATGCGCAGGTATGGTTCAGATGTGTTGTTCAATTTGTTTTGGTGATGCAAGTCGTTAAAAGGGAATGTCAGATGACATGCTTATTCATTAGCTGCTAGTTTTGTTGTCGGGAAAAGGAACTTAAACTTGTCACACTGCAAGGTCCATGACCTTGTCGATGGTGATGTCGTGGTAGTTATCAGTAAGCAAGGGGTTAATGCTCAGGCTCTGCGTTTTTTAGAACCATTTTCCTTTGTTCATTTATGCATACCCTCGAAGAAGATCCGTAAGTTTGACTGTTGCAGTTTTTAATCTGTTCGATTACGTTAATATTTTCGTCAGACATGTCTAATATGCTGCTGTACGTAAAAAACAAAATCTATGGTTTATTCAAGTATGCCGCCAAATTCTTAGCACTTCTGCCATTTTACGGCATAGAACAAATGATAATGCCATATTTTAAGTATGTCGTACATTGGATTACAGTATCACGTAATCGAAATTTAAATTTTATTAATATATTTTTCATGTATAGGACTGCTTGTTTGAAACAAATGTGTCATTTTATTCGTAATATTATTCACGCTTAATTTTGAGGATACTTTCCGTGCTAAATTTTTAGGATGTGCATGCCTATTGTACATTTTTTCCTAGTGCAACCTTTTTTCGATTTTAGGTCTTTATGGTGTTGGGAAATCTGTAATTCACGATTTGGTAGGCTCGTTTCCAGGTATTGACGAAGCTGTTAGTTTTGCGGAAGTCTTGAAGTATGAAATTTTTTTAAAAATGCTTTATAAGCTTCTGTAATTTTTTCAAGTCTTTCTCCGCATATCCCACTACAACCCCTTAAAGAGCGCATCGCAGAGTACGGCCGAGAGTTTATTATACTTTGGCATGATCATGCCATTTGCATCGAACCATCTCCGGTGTGTGACTGGTTTTTTGTTGATCGCACCGCAGTGTAGTGCGACAGATTGTTTGTTCTCGGGAATTAGTAGTTCTTCCTTTTCTCAACGTGTTCCCTTTAATCTGCTGAGATGTCTGATCTCCAAAGGTCAGATATCATGAATCTGGGTTCTTCCGCTATTTAATCTGCTAGCTTTCGACTCGATGACAAAACAACAACAACCCTTTAATCTGAGTCTGCTGTACAAATTAGTTTCCTTTACATTCTCTGATCTTTGTCAAGTTTCAGTTACTCACACAATCTCTTGTGTCAGAATATACGGTCCACACTGCTTGATTGACGATTCATCAATTCTGTATTCCTTAAATGATTTTTTCAACCTGTTTCTGAATTCTTAACGACATAGATCTCATGTATGGAGAGCAGTTGTGTTGTTTAGTCGCTTGCCATTTGTAACGTGGTATTAAACGTGTGTTTTAATTTCGTTGTAGGAAGTCGACGTGGATACCTGTCTTTTAGGTTGTTTTGCATTGCGCAGAACAGTGAAAGTTTCTTTTTGAGCGGTGTCATTCCTCACAGTTCTCACAGTTCAGATAGTCTCTGATGACATTAAATAACGGGTTAGTAATTCAATTTTAGTGTAACCGAAGTGATAAGCGGCTGTTTATGAGTGAGATTAAGATTTGTGGGAAACATACGGTTAAGTGCTTTCTGTAACATTTACAGCTAATGAAACTTCCTGCATACTGTTCGCAGCGTCATTACGAAATGCACTTGTTCTTGAAGATGAAAAGCTTGCATTACGATTTGATTTGCTAGGCTAGTTCAAGAAATGAATTTCGACGTTGTCGTCTTTGATACAGCACCGACTGGACACACATTACGCCTGTTGTCTTTGCCTTCTCTGATCGAAAGAGGCCTTGGTAAGCTGTGCAAGATCCGCAACAACATCGTTCCAATGCTTCGGCAGGTCGGTAAACCTTCCCAACAGCAGTGCCTCATGGATGCGCGTTTAGATTGGTGGGATGTTCGGTTTGGGGGATGCTTGCGGTGATGATGCTACTAAGAAATTGGAAACCATTTTGCCTATCATTCAAAAAGTTAACCAGCAGTTTCGAAATCCGGTAAGCGTCGTTTTTCACATATGTTAACTGATAAACGTCAGCACATAATAATGATGCCCAGTGGATTGATTGCTACTGTGTTCAACTTCCTAACTAACGAATGACAGCGATTTGCTGCTTTTAAATAGATTTTACGGTTAATTTAGTTTTCAGCCTATATAAATGTGGGTTCGTCCTACAGTAGTATTTTAACAAACGCATAATCCCATCAAACTGGGTTTCACTGTGTTATAGTTCTGCCCTTCCTTCCTATATACTTAGGAAACCATTTAAACGCAACGCAACCCCATATGCTGGAGTTCATGAAATGCATCGAATAATGCGCTTACGAATTTACAAGTTCTGTGGTACGCATCCGTATTTGTAATATTTGCGAATGCTTATAACGGGACCGGTTTTTAGTCACCGTTGTGTTCCCTACTGCTCTAGCCAATAAAACGATATAAAACTTATCTCTGCGCTGTAGCTGTTCATATACCATAGAGCCTCGTTTACCTGATGGCTCCATACCCACCTTAGAGAAAGCAGCTGGTTCCATAACGTTTCGAAGTCTAATAGATCTGATAGATCTTTATACTTATTTTCAGCGTATAGCGATCAAGAGAAAAAAATACACGTGCATATGAATTTTCAGGCTGTGATTCAAAAAGGGAATGAATATAAGAAAAATCTAAGGACTCACAGTTAAAATTTATTCCACTTTTATTGAGTTTATTTGCATTTACTCACATTATATTTATATCTGCTCAAGGAAGGGATGCATCACCACTAAATCCACTACCAAATGAGGACAGGCGGATTTTGCATCTCGAGGTTGTAAACCGCATGTGGGATAAAACGAACTTGATATAGTTAATAATTTTAATGATTAATCTTCGTTGCTGCCGGGTTCTCGACTTGATTTGATGGAATATTCAAGTTGCAGATGCGAGTTGCAATTCGATAAGATTATTAGTTTAATGCAAGAGCCTATAATACGTCAGAATGTTAGAGATGCGACAAGTTTTCTAACGTGTGTCGTCTTCCGTTTGTGAGATCTTTGAAGTAGCACAGAAGTGCTCCTTGAGATGGTGATGTCATGAATGTCGGTGACTGAAACCTCTCAGACGGCCCTGCTTCACTGAATCCTTTAAGCAGGATGAAGGTTGGATAAATAGAAGCAATGTTTCATGAAGGTTCGCACTCCGAACCGACTGCGAAACAAGCGCTGGTCAAAAATTTTTAAAAAAATGAATAAAACCGGGAATGTAAGTGCAGGTTACTGCGTGATCTGAACCGTGTTTGGCGCTTGGCATTACAGGACACGATTGGCCGCATGGCCGTCATAAGGAGCTTCATGTCCAACTATAATACGATAACGTTGTCTACCGACGCATTCATCTATATTACATCAGTGAAACGAATAAGATCAAAGCTAACGTTATTCGCATGTGTGAGGCCCGACGATCTACTGTTGCACAGTGGAACAATTTAGAAGAGGTGTTCCTCAGAAAGGCCTTCGAGAATTAAGCTCGAACCAGCTGTGTTGGGTTCGGCCATAGCACTCTAACACTATGTTTAATAGTAAGCGTGAAGGTACTTCGCCTCCTCCCGCTTACGTTAACGAGCTCCTTTCATATGTTGTGCTTCACTCGAACAGTGTTCCTTAGACTCTAACATGAATTTTGTCCATGGATAAAGGTTGTACTCTCATTCTAGCTGTAGCCCATTGAATTCTGGTGATAACTCTTATTGTTTAGCGTTGGTGATTTCAACCAACGGCAGGCAAAAGGTCTAGTAACGTCGTTTGTCACTGTAATTATAGGCTCTTGATTTCTCGATGAATCGTTTCACTATAAGACGTTGCAATTTTTCAACGCTGCAGTATCGCTTTCTACTATATCTCCGCCATTGACAAGAAATCTGAACTTTTGCCAAATGTCAGCGAGGCTCTGCACTTGCATAAGGTTGAGTTATGAATCAAGGATTTTCATATTCGTTTATGACATGGTTATTAAACAGCTCGTCTCAGTCTTATGTATATCTATACATGGCAAGCGGATAGACGTTTCTAGCAGTTATGCAATCATTATCAGCAAAATCTATCTTTTTCCTGTGGTGCTTGGTTTCTTATATGGTTGCTGAGTATTTGATGGTTTCTTTATAACAGTATATTGAGGTTTGAGTGGTGTACTGCTGTTTTTCGTTTCTACCTTTTCGACTTTCTCATCGGGTAATTAACTTTTCAATATTTTAGGAGCTAACGACGTTCATCTGTGTTTGTATCGCTGAGTTTCTCTCATTATATGAAACCGAACGTCTGATTCAAGAGCTTCTGAAACAGTCAATTGATACGCATAATATTATAGTGAATCAGTTGATTTTCCTGCCCGAAGGTCAGCGGGAAGCGTGTAAAATGTGCGCTTCGCGCAAAAAGATTCAACAGAAATATCTTGACCAGGTTTGTCTTTGTTTGTTACTCTTGACCAGACTTTCACATTTTCTTTTGTTTGTAGATTTGCGATCTGTACGTCGATTTTCACGTTACGCTTCTGCCGTTGTTGGGCAAGGAAATCAGAGGAAGCAATGAAATTAAGCTGTTTTCTGAGCATCTAGTTGCTCCCTATTCGCCTCATTAAACTGTTTTTGCTGTTACTTTCTCTACTTGCGTGACAATTGCTCGACAAATATCATTGCTTAGAAATTTTTGACGAATATTCAGCGCGGTATCCGCATCTTTTGTAAGATGTTATGGTACCTTCATTACCGAGTCATGCACTTAGATCAGCTGGCATACGAAACTTATCATGAGGCTGTGTAATCTGGTCATGCCGCCATTATTCTTAAGTTCATTGTTTGAGCGTGCATCGATTTGTTTGAATTTTCCAATAATTTGCTGATATCAGCAAAATTTTATATCCAAATTTAGCGATTGTTTTCGCAAGATATCGAACTGGAATGTCGAATATGAATACTGCGATCACGTCAGTTTATATTACAGTTTTGGTGCCGTAGTGTTACGAAATGTTTGTGGTATTATGGGAACGATTTGATCAGGTCTCAAATCCATCGTAGCAGTTAGTTATCTTTAAGAACATTAAATTATGTAATGGAAAGAAAACGTTAATTGCCAAGACGACCGTAATGGCCCGACGGTCAAGCTGTTTAGTGCAGCGCATTAGAAAATCAAACATAACTGATCTAAGCTACACTAACTAATCTGAAGCTTGAACTACGTCACCGTCATTAATGCGCTTTCTTTTTCAACACGACAGCGTTATACGATATCAAGGCTCTTAATACATGTTTTCTTTACTGCATTTCGTACATTTGCTACATTTTTGAAATTTACTGAAAGAAGATAAACCCCCAAAATACGCGTAGTTATGTAATGCTTTACTACTATTATTATAATCTTTTACTACACTGCCATTCTATTTCTTTGTTCAACGCTGCATGCAAACGAGTTCAATTCAAACGCTAAAAAATCATGCAGCTAATTTCACCGCTTCAGGCCTGTTAAAACGTTTCTTTAGGCATTTAGAGCAAATGATACAACGCCGCATTAAAAATGAAATCGATGGCTAACGACCATTGCACTCAACAACAGTGACAGAGAGTACACCTTATGCTAGTTATCACACAGATATCAGTCAAGGAAATTGCAGTAATATGAGGTTCTGGCATCAAACGGCAGATATTGCCGTACCTCTCGCCCATTCTGGTATGGCCGCATCAGAACACGATGTTAC